AATTCCCAAACACCAAATTCAGGCCCAACACCCCTCCTGAGTTTGTTTATTTTATTTTATTTTTTTCTTTTCACTACTTTCTATTTTCTATTTTATTTATTTATTTTGTTATTATTAACTAATTAACTTTTCATAAAATCAGAAAACCCCAAAAAAATAATATTTTTTTAATTTCATTATTTTATTATTTTTGTAAATAAATTGCAGCAAATTAACTTAGTTTTTAATTAGGTTTAATCTTAACATATTTTGCAATAAATTAAAATTGACTTAGAATTAGGTTTTTTTTAATATTTCTCATTTTATTTCCTTAATTAAAATAAAACTCAAAAATATTTTCTTTTTTTAATCATTAGTTAGGCTTAATTCTTAAATCAAAAATGACAAAAAATATGCTTTATTCAATTAAAGGGTCAAAACCCTAAAGGACATTCCGATTCAATTTTTGCGCGCATTTATTTTATTGTAACTGCCTACTGGGATGTAATAGCTTAACTAAGACTTTTACACTTTACTGCTTTATTCCCCCAATTTTGGACATGTAAATAATCCCCCTCCCCGAAGCCTTGTAATAGCGTAGGATTTACAATTTCCGCACTTTAAATTCCTGTACATATATTAACTGTTTAGATGTATGCTAACTAGGATTGCATGACAAGATCTATCTTAATTTAAAATCAACCGTAGCTCACCATAACATGTACAAAGATAATATAACTGAAAAACAATACACTCACACATGCCACTCTTAAGGTACGCCTCACTTGGTTGCCTCGAACGTGGTCATTAAGTATATGTTGTTTTAGAGGTCGCCCTTTTGTCCAAAGATCATAAGTTGCCTCGAAACGGCTGCCTCAGAAAAATGATCTAAGACATTAGGGTTACCGCTAAGGCGTCATAACATTGCTTTAGTGACCACACGTCCCTTAAATCGAATTGACCCGAAAACTCCAATGACGGTGCTACCTACTCCTCAATAGTGGGATGGCACTGTCTAAAGGACATTTGCACAGTTTAATTCCTTTTTGAGTAGGTAGAGGTTCTCAAGTACTTGCTCCTTTTAAAACAAAACAAAAACTTTTCTCACTTACACTCTCTTAAAAAACAAAACTCTCTTCAAACCCACAAACACAAAGAAAAGTAAACTTTTGAAAACATAGTGAGCAAGTACCTAAGAGCCCGTGGATAACCACGGATAGAAAAGGTGCTAACACCTTCCCTTTCTATAATCTACCTCCCGAACCCGAGAAACATCTCGAAAAGGAATTTTTCTGTGCTTTTGTCCTTTCCTCGTTGGATAAAATAAAAGACGATGGCGACTCTTGCTTACTGCGACATTTTGCGAAAACAAACGCGAACCAGCATTCCAAAACAGTCAGTTCTCATTCCCACCGATCACACCAATTAACCATTTGCTAGGTCAAAAATCAGAAATTGTCCTTTCTCAGCCAAAACCCTAATTTTGACCATTTTGCCCTTTTGATTATCTGATCAAATTTCTTGAGGAATTATGGTCCAAACTTGATCAAATGATACATATGAGTTTATAATGTTGATATGGATCAAAAATTATGAAGTTTGACTGTAAATTGGCCACAATTGACTTTTTCCCCAATACAGCTGATTTTTAGGTCAACTGCTCAATTGACTGAGCAAAAATGTGATCCAAGACTTGAAACTTGACATGAGCAATCTTGGGGGTCCATAATGCTCCATGAAATTCATATGAGGCATTAAAAGTTCAATTATCCTTGTGCAATCTCAAACCCTAATTTCAATCATCAGTGCTTAAAGAGGTATCTTGAGTTGATCAACCTTAGTGCAATTTTGAACCAAAGGAGATCTTGTGAGAAAATACTTGATAAATGAGAGGGAAAATTTTGGGGTACAACAATAACATCTAGCATAAGGAATGCTAGTATTACATTTGTTACAAGAAGCAGATGTTACGGTATTCAAAAATTGTTGAACACTGATCCAATCCAAATAACAATTCAAACTCCTATACTAAGCACAACTTTGCCCAAGACTAAAACTCCTCCCAAACTGCTAAAAGCCACCCAATACAAGCCATCTAAAACAATCCATTAACAGTCAGAAATTCAAAGCAATAAGAAGCTATTCCAACCAACTCCAAGCAAAATGCACTACCACTATCAATATTATCAAAGGAAAAGTAGTTGATGAGGATATTATCACACAACACCGATTATTCGACACACTCGATCTCCACTTCAACATGCAATAGAGCAGAAAAAGAAAAATCTCTATGGAATGATCTGCAACATGCTAAAAATGCAGAACTGTAAAGAATTCATCATCCCCAAGTAATGCCACAAAGTGCTACCAACTCAACATTCATCCTATTCCCGATCTGCCGGGCAACTCCTGCGAGCTCGACCACCATGAAGCACAACACAACACTCTGAGGCAATCAAAAACTCTGATCCACCACTACTGCATAACCTGAATCAGCCCCGTTCAAAGCCTTCACCTGATAAACACTAAAAGGACCCAAACACTATGCAACCAACTAAACAACTAATAACAGATTAATAATTTAATAGTCTCCAAGCTCCGACCCAAGAAACTATTCAGTCTAAGTCATCATTTTTCACTCGAAGCGTTTCCATACATACCAAGGCATTTCCAAGGATTCATGAACCATTGGGATAAAATATATTACAAACTTTTACTCTTGATCCACTTCCATGGTGATAATTTCACTTCTTCAAGCATTTTATCCATGCAAACTTCGTTGTTATTAAAAAAATTCCATTTCTAGCCTTCCAGGTGCTCCAATTACTGGCAAACCATACCATTGTTGTGCGTTGTGAGTAGACTCTTCTGCTGCTAATAAGTCCCATGAACTGGTAAATAACTTGCAATATCGTTATGGAGAACAATTGTCACACTAAGCCATCTGCATATTCTACTCTAGATACCTGCAAAGACATGACATTAAAAAAAGATGTGTCATCGATTCTTCCTCGCCATAACCACTTATGCATTGGGTATTATCTTGTCTAATCACTTCTCTCCTAGCTAAGTTGATTTTAGTGGCGATTCTATCTTGAAAGATTATCCACACAAAAGTAGACTCTTTTGGAGGAGTTGATTTATGCGAAGCTTTTACACACTTTGGATTAGCCTCATTTGGTGCGATGGACATCAAAGCTTTGTATGCTTCTTTAACGGTATACATGTATGTTTTCCCTCCTAGTCACTCCTATTTGTCTTCCACCCCTTCTAATAGACTTTCTAACTCATTTAAAGACTCTCTTTCTTCCCTACTCAAGTCTCTATTCCATTCCAAATTCCACTTAGATACCCCATTTTCCTTTCTCAAAATCTCATCTATTTTCTTAGATTTATCTAGGGACAATATAAATAAATTTTCGAATCTCTTGTTTAGTTTCCCTCCGCCAATCCACCAATCACACCAGAAACTTGTGTCTTTCCTGTCACCAATTTCTTTTTTTACTCTAGTCATGAACCATCCATTATGAAGCTCACTATCTCCATTATCTAGTTGGCATATATCGTTCTACCAAATAGATGCAATGTTTCCTCTTTTTCTAATATTACCACCACTCTCGTTTTACCTATTTACACGAGCTTTATACCACAACTTGTTTCTTTCACTTTTTAGTTTCCATTTTTATTTGCCCAACAAAGCAACATTAAAAGCCCTTAAGTTCTTTCCTACTCAAGTCTCTATTCCATTCCAAATTCCACTTAGATACCCCATTTTCCTTTCTCAAAATCTCATCTATGTTCTTAGATTTATCTATGGACAATATGAATAAATTTTAAAAACTATTGCTTAGTTTTCCTCCGCCAATCCACCAATCGCACCAGAAACTTGTGTCTTTCCCAATTTCTTTTTTACTCTAGTAATGAACCATCCATTATGAAGCTCACTGTCTCTATTATCTAATGGACATATATCGTTCTACCAAATAAATGCAACGCTTCCTCTTTTTCTAATATTATCACCACTCTCGTCATACCTTTTTACACGAGCTTTATACTACAACTCGATTCTTGCACTTTTTAATTTCCATTTCCATTTGTCCAACAAAACAACATTAAAAACCTTTAAGTTCTTAATATCCAATCCTCATCCTCTATAAGCTTACACAGTTTGTCTCACTTAACCCAATTTATTTTTCTTTCTTTTTCGCTCCCACCCCAAAAAAATTGTTTAAAGAGAGATTCGAACTTAAAAATAATATTCGCTAGTGCCTTGAAGAAAGAGAAAAAGTAGACTGTAAGTATCTACAAGACTGATTTAATTACAACAAAATTGATTTTCCAAAACATTAACTTATTGTGTGTTTGGCAACTGAGCCAATCACCACTACCTCCATGTTTTAAACTCTTTCCAATGTGTTTTTTTCTAAAAGCTACGACTGTTAGTATGTACCTACGATGCGGTGTTACCGCGACTTCTCAAAACACTTATCAAATTTAAGTGAAACAAATACTTGTATTCACATTGCTCTTAGACATGACATAGGTTTTACTCTTTCTATGATTGATATTTTTTTTAAAGTAGTACTACTTATCACTCATAAAAATCATTAAGTGAACAATTAATGATTAGAGTAATTAGATTGATTATTTATAACTTTAAATAATAATTCCATTCCGAATCCATTTTATTAACCAAGATCCCCTTCAAATAATTACAAAGTGGTACAAACTCCCACGTAGTAACAACAACAATAAAAAAAAGAAAAAGAAAAAAGAGATTAAGTCCTAATAACAAAGCGAAAATCATACGTGGCAGCTTAGGGTTCATCACAAGTCCTAAAAAAAAAACCACCCTCTACCCTTCCCATTTTCTTTTCCCCCCAAAGACCCTACTGCAAACAGTACACTCACACAACACCAACCCACCCTTCACTCCAACACTTCACACCCCTCCCCTCTCTCTCTTAAATTCTCAACTCGTACATGGTCCCACTCACCCGTTCTTGCCGGAATCGCAACCGATGAACGCCGGCGGAGCCACCGTCATCCGATCCATCCTCGATAAACCTCTCAACCAGCTCACCGAAGATGACATTTCGCAACTCACCCGCGAAGACTGCCGCAGATTCCTCAAAGATAAAGGTCCTCTTCTTCTTTTCAACTTTTTTCTCTCTCACAATCCTAATATATTATTAATAAATTTTATTTTTGGATTTTATCCTCTGCTGCTCCATGATTTCCGGTTTCTAAGAGCTTCTTTTTTTTTTTCAACTCAATGGTTCTTTATTTCTATATTTAATATTAATTAATTAATCGGGGTAGGGATTTTTTTATTTGATTTGGAAATAATTATAAAAAAAGAAAAAATGAGTGAAGAACAAGACACGTGTTCGTACAGGGATGCGCAGGCCTTCCTGGAACAAATCTCAGGCGATCCAGCAAGTTATTTCTCTCAAAGCGCTTCTTGAACCTACCGACGATGATTCTCCTGCACCGGTTTCCTCCGCCATACACCGCCATCACCACCACCACGCTCAACCACCTCAAGTCAGTGTTTATCTCTCTCACACTCTCTTGTTTGTTTGGTTGTGGAGTTTAATTTTGTTAATTGATGAATGTAGGGGAATTTGAGTGAAGCTGCTCCGGTGAAGGGTTCGGATCCCGATGAGACCGGTGTTCGGGCTGTTGAGGATATTCAGAAATCGATTTCACCTGTTGCAGATAAACCTAATGAAACAAATGATGCTCCTGCCGGGTCTGTTCTTCATTTTATTTATTTATTTATTTATTTTTTGTGTTGGCAGCTTTTTGTGTCTTGGGTTCTGGCTTTTGATGCTTTTTGGAAAAAAAGTATGATTTGGATGGTTGAAGTTCAGTGAGAGTGAAAAGGTGGATGTGCTTACTAGATGAGTTTGATTTGGATGGTTGAAACTTGAAACATCAAAGTTAAGCTTTCTTATTGATTTAGTTACTTGTTTATATAAGTAAACCTTGTTTAGGCATTAGTTTGGAAATTTGTAGCTTTAGGTGAAGTGGGAGATGATGAATGTGTTTCCTGAATGGGGAAGTGAAGTTGTTGTTAAGAGTCCCATATCACACAATATATGGTCTGAACATACCCTTATAAGTGAGGGGCAATCCTCACCCTACAAGCCGGTTTTATATGATTGAGTTAGGCCCAACCGCATTTCTTTATAGTTGTTAGTAGAAGTAGGTGTTTTTCGGTGATCTTTTATAAACAGATTATGTGTGCCTGCAGTTTATGGAGATGTAATATGAAAATGTTTGGTATATTTCTGAGATATATTGTTTAGATGGTTCAATATCATTGTTATTTTGCATTTGTTTGCTTTTTATTTTTTCTTTTACTATCTCTTATTTGATTGTTGTTTTTGGTTTTCTTTTCATGAACAAACTTGTACATATACACTGTCGTGGCTACATTTTAGTGCCAGCCATCATAGTACTGTCAATCTAGTTCTAGTTCTGCTTAATTTATACCTTTCCATTTAGATATTTACCTAGATTAGATATTATGTTTGAGGTGGGGGCAAGATTTATGGAGATGAAATATATGGAAGGTATCAATTGAAAGTAGGGAAACCCTTTTGGTAAAAAATGATTATTTTATGTTAAGCATGATCACTTTGAATATTCAAGGACGAAGAATAAGTTAGAGGAACAATTCTACCATGAGTTTGTGTTTGTTTTATATCGAGGCTTGTTTCTTTGCATCCATACTTGTTTGCAAGTTTATTTGATTGGTGGATAACCAATGGGCCCGCGACTTCAACAGTGCATGTGGTAGCAAACCATATGTTTTGTTAATGTGGAATCTCAAGGAAATGTTTCTTTCAGTTCCAATAGGTAGTAATCATGACCTCCTGAAAAAAGAATGCGAGTGAGTGCTGTAATTAGCTGTTCTACATTTTATTAAAAATTTAAAACATTCTGATTCTCTTAAACTAAAACTGCACTCATGCCATTCTTTGTAAACAAAAGTCTGAATGGGCAGTGCTGAATTGTATAGAACTTTCAGTTTATAGATGCTTTCCATACGAAGAGAGTGATTCAGTTACTTAAAACGCCAAATAATTTAAATTCAATAAATTTGTGTAAAACAAACTGAAGGCAAGTTACTGTATGTTTTATATATATTACCATCCATGTTCTTAACATTGCTTGAAAATTTGATGTGGGCACAGGGGGTGCGCGCCTAGTGGGTCATTTGGACAAATGACAATTTTCTACTGTGGTAAGGTGAATGTCTACGATGGAGTCTCACCGGATAAGGTAAGTTAAGATGTGTCCTCTTGCATAAATATCTTGCCATACATCTTTACCTTCCAATGTAACCATGTTTTTATCTGCATTTGCAGGCACAGTCAATCATGCAACTTGCTGCAAGTCCGACCCTGTTTCCTCAAGACAGTCCTTTAAATAAAAATGCAGCAGTTTGGGCTTCTTCTTGCAACATACCGATTGATAAAGATGTCCTCTACCCCACTAACACAGCAATCCTTCAAGTTTCTCAAACAGGTAGGTAGCAATTGGGTAGAAATATGCTTAATTTTGCTTTGAAGTGCTAGTACTCTAATGTGGGTAAGAATCACTTCTTTCAATGTTCAGTGCATAATTTTCTGGAACTTTGATGAATTCGATATTTTATATGATAATAAGCCCTTGCAAAAAAAATTTATAGCCTTTTTTTAAGCTTAGATACCATTCACTTTATTACTCGATACATGATATAACACCATGTTTTTTAAAGGGGGTAAAGAACAATGAGTTCAAGCTAATCCTTGTTTTTTATCATACTAGTCTGTATGCCACGTTCTATCAGTCCATCGTACATTTGTTTGATCCTTTTCTGTGCAAATGCAAAAATCATTGGATGTGCAGACATTGTTATGATTGTTAAGAACAAATTCACTATGAATACTGATTTTTTAATTAAATCTATTGAACTCTCGTGTCTAGAAGATGAACAAGCTCCCACATTGTTATGATTGTTAAGAACAAATTCACTGTGAATGCTGATTTTTTAATTAAATCTAATGAGTTCTCGTGTCTAGAAGATGAACAAGCTCACATCTTTGACTTCTTTAAAATCACGAGAACATTTATAATTTGTAAGTTAGGAAGTTGGAGTTTTTAATTAGAGCTTTACAGTCCTTCTTTCTAGAAGATGAACAAGCTCAACATCCTTGAATTGTTTAAAGTCATGTAACATTTATCAGTTAGGACCTAAGATCTTTGAATCAAAGCTGTTGTTAAATATCACGACAACACTCATCAGTTAGGAACTTGAGATGTTCAACTTCATAATTGGTGTTACGAATTTGGTTTTACAGATAAGATGGTGGAATATCCTCTGCAATACAGGGAGAAAGGGAGCACACTTCGAGATGCTGGTAGGGACAATTAAGTGTTTAAATTTTTGCAGTCTGCTAGAACTTTATCTTCTGTTCTCTTTTGGCGGATTTCCAGGAAATTTCCAGTAGAAAATTATTGGTGGACCACTAAATGAAAATTATTGATGGACTATTAAATGAATTTGGAGTTTCCTTTATTGAACTGCTTTTAGTATTTCTTGCCCATGTCCTTTCTCTTTGATTTGGCTTGTTTTTGGAGGCCTTTTTATTTGTTTCTTTCGTGGCGTCCCAATTCATGCTATAACGATTTTAAGAATTAAGAAATGCAAAATTCACCTACTTGACTTAAGATTTGTCTTCGATAGAACACAGTACAATACACAATTTGATCCATATATTTCCCGGCTAAATGAACTTGTTCTTTGTAATTCGAAAAGCAATGAAATATGAAGAAATCTTGTTGGTTTTCCTATGATGAACTATAGTAGCAGTGTATAAGAAGCCTTTTTATGTATTAAATTGGTAGAATATAAAGTAAGTGTTATGAAACTTATAATGGCACATCACACATCACACATGAAACTTATAATATTGAACTTAAGCTACAAGAATTTCTAAGATCAACAGAGAGTAATTTCTTTTTAAACTTAAAGCTTTATGTCAAGCTTCCATACCTCAAATTATGAGAAGCTAAGCATCAGTTACATTTATTTGTTTTATAAAAGATGTAGAGGGTCAGGCAAGCAGAAAAGTGTCGCTGCAGCGATATCTTGAAAAGCGAAAGGACAGGTATCTGCAGTACTAAACTGTCATCTGTTTATTGACATCAATTCCTTCCCCCACGTTACCACTTTTTTAGTTTAATGAAAACCCGCTGAATTATTTCATTACTCTGCCTTTTTAGGGGAAGACCGAAGGGAAAGAAACTGACTGGCATAACTTCATCTAACTTTGAGATGTATTTGAACCTTCCAGTGAAGATCCATGCCTCAAATGGGAACTCAAGCCGTAGTAGCACTGACTCTCCACCACAGACTAGACTTCCTCTAGTTTCCAGTGGCTCAGCTGACAACCAGCCGAAAATTGCCCTTCCTATTGATCTGAATGATAAAGGTCAGTCACAATCTTTATTTCAACAGGAAAGAGACAATAAACCTCTCGAAGTGTATTAATCAGAGAATTTTCATAGATGACTAATAAATCAGCTATCCTGCTGGCTGTATTGATATTTAGGGGTAATATGAGAATTGTAAACCATCTAACTAGAGTCGAGATCCTTTCCGTCTCAATCAAAATGAAGAAAATCTATTACTATGGTTTATGGTGTATAAGTATTGTTGAAAAGTCCCACATTGGAAGAGATATGACTTGAACACATGTTTAAAAGTGGTGAACAGTCTTCACTTTACAAGCCGATTTCGTAAGAGTTGAATTAGGTCCGATTAAAATCTTAAGATAACTCATTTATAGAATTGGTGACATAATTAGGTTATTATATGCCCAAAGCTACCGGAGTCTAAATCTCCATTTGTTTTAGGAATTTAGAAGATATCTACTCATATATGACAAGCAGCAAAGTAGGATCGATCTGAGTTTGCAGTACTCATATAATTAATTAGCAAATTTTTTACTGTTTTAAGTTTTAAATAGTTACAAGTTTACTTAGGAAAATATTTGTGATGCTGGTTAAATACTAAAGGGTAAACCAATAATTGATGAAGCACCAGCCTTTATGCCATATTACCAAAATATAGCTCAATATTTTCTGTCATGTGTTTATGTAACTTGTAGATGTTCAAGAATGCTAAAACTAAAGACTAGATAAATTGCGCAGAAATGGAACTTGTAGATGTTTGAAGAGAGCTGTGGGTGTATAACTGAAGAGAAGAGTCCATAGCTTCTGGAAACCTATTCCTACTGGACCTAGACTAGAGTGGTCAATTTTTAGTAGCTTTAACTGCTGGGAAAATTTATTATGTTTAGGATAGTGTCTAGCATCTCGCCTACCTGATCAATTTTGTAATAACAGTCATCATTCGGGAATTTCTTGTTTCTGTAACTTCAGGTTTTTCGAGTTAGTAAAATGTAGAGTAAGGAGCGGCCATTTTCCACGGAATGTGTTATGTAATATGTAATATAAATTCACTGTGCTGCTTTCTCTTGTTAATTGTTAATAGCTTTTGTGCAACCTAAACTGGACTCTTATTCTTCTCTTGTTTTATTACTCTGCTGCTGCCAATCTTTCTAATCTACCTAATAGACTCCATATAGTAACAAGAATTCTAATGGTGTTACTGTGGGAGTTATAGTTATTGATTGGTTGGGTAAAGTAAAATGCAGAGTGCAGGTTTTGGGACTTGATCGTACAGTTCATTTGGTGTGAGTATTTACTATTGTTAGAGAGTGAAAATGTTATTTATTACAGTACTCTATAAATAGTGAGAAAATGCTTTAGTCAGTGATGGTGTGGCTCATTTTGATTCTGAATGACTTCAGCATTACTATTTAATGATGTTGGTACTTTTTTGGTAGAACAAATGTGTAAAGCTTTGTTAAGCTAGTCTGAAAAAGAAATGCTACAAATTTACAGAATAGAAAATTCAGCATTATATAATAGTACGAATTTTTCAAACAACAATCTCTTATGATAGAAAATTCTATTTTTGCTTACCGAGGTTTGGTTTAAGCATAAGAAACTAAGTTTTCAGAATATGACAAATCAAAGTTTGGAATTTTTTAGAGATATATACATTTTGTATTCAAGAGTGATTTGAATTGGATTATCTCGAACTTAAGGAGAGAAAAAATGTATTTTAGCTAAAATTAGTTTTTGTATCTCAAGTATTTAAATAATTCTTTCATTTAATTTTTATTTTAAATGAGTGGTTAGAAACGAGTTTCAGATACATATTGTCTTCGTCTAAGTGTATGTTTGGTATTCAGGTAGAAAAAGTAAAAGCACGGTGCAAAATCACGGTAGCAGTGAAGCTACCTTTTGGAACCAAACTTAATCCAAGTAAAAAGAAGTATATGTACCGTAAGTTTAGCAGAAGTAAAAGTGTTTAATTTATAGATGAAAGTTGGAGAGCACGATATCTTTCAAGTCATATAGTTTAAATATGTTAGATATCTTTCAAGTCATATAGTTTAAATATGTTAGATTTGTGATATAAAATGATGGAGAAATAGAAAGAGATGTAAATTATTGAATGATGGTTGAAATGAAGGATTTCAAAGATTTTATGTGACGCATAATAACGCTAAAGTTGAAGGAAATTTTGTATCTGATTGCGGTAAAACTTGTGATATTATGCGGGACATAATGTTGGATGATTAAAAGAATGTTGAATGATTAAAAATCAACACAAGAATAAAGTAAATGTAGTTGAGATGAAGATGTTTTGTTGATATGAGTAGAAATAAAAATATTAGAGTGTTAGGATAGTATCTAAAGTAGATAAGATGGGAGAAAATAGATTTAAATTGTCTAAGTATACCGGGAGAAAATAAATAGATTTTGTGCTAAAGAGAATAGATTAGATAATATACAGGGAGAAAATAAATAGATTAAATAAATAGATTTTGTGCTAAAGAGAATAGATTAGATAAAGTGAAATTAAACAAGAGCAAGAGGAAGACTTAGAAAGAGTGAAAGAAAAATTATTAAAAGAGACTGTGATTATCTATTTAGATAGAAACATGCTCCTGAATAAAATTTTATAACAAAAATTGATCATCTACGTAATTGATCAAATTTAGTGAGATAAAAGTTGGCTATTAGTGTTGCTCTTGTTGTTGTAGACATGTGATTATATTTTTTGTAATTGAGAAAACTAAAATATTTTTAAATTAAACAACTTGTATAAAAAAATAAAATTGACTTAATTTTTTTCTTCCATTCAAAGCGATTGATATCAGTTAGATGCATAATTTATGATTAAAAAGTGTTATGGACTGGGTCTGCACTTGACCCAACTTCATACGGAGTCCAATCCAACTATGCTGCTCAAGGAGACCTGCTGATCGAGCTTACTCTCGACTATGTCGGGCAGCAACCTCACCTTTCGGGAAAATGTAGCTTCGCCATACGGGGATAAATCTAGGAATTGCGAGGAGACTCGTCGTCGGTCAGGAGGACCTCGCAAGCATCCTCCACTCTTCTCGTTGAGCAAGAAAAGCCCTCCCGAACGACCTTACAGTTAGCGGGAAGGGCCCATGAAGGACAGAAGGACATCGCGAACATCCTCTTTGTAGGATTGACTATCAACACCCCCGAATATCAGAGTCCTCTTAGTCCCGAAAAGACTACATCCATATCCTCTTGATAATTCAGGGGAGTCTATCCAAGTTGGGGACCACGTGCTAGCCCCCACTACCACGTAGGACCTGGCAGTCTCCATTTTGGGCCAGCTTGCCCAGCCCACGATCCACTTAAGCCCAACGCTGGGGGCTATAAATACCCTATCACTTGAGAGGGTCAAGTATTCATACTCACTCTGATACTTGCTCGCGTTGCTCTAAACTTTACTTTGGCATCAGAGTGTCTTGCAGGTACCCCTCACTTCACCTTCAACTATTGTTCAACGCGAACCTCGTGGGCCTTGACAATCCCTTTTGATCAAGGTACGATCAGTGGCGTCGTCTATGGGAAACTAGCTTCCCCGTCTTTCATTTTCCCAAGACTAAATCGAACCTCCAAATTCCTTTGATTTTCATGGCTGACCCAACTGCCAACAACAACCTAAACGCCCATCTCGCCGACCCTAACAACAACGTCGGCGACAACATGGGCAACAACAACAACAACGGGAACAACGTCGACATGGTCGGTCTCATGTAGAACTACAGAGACGGCATGGCCGCCTCTTCATCATCCCGCTCTCGGCCACACGAGAATGCCCGTCCGCCCCAGAACTATGAGTCGAACGTCTTCCAGGAGGTACCTGTCCCCGTATGCGCTAACGCCACGACCAGGTCTCTGTTCCCGGCCACTAACTAAACAAATTACTTAATCTTCTCGCAAGACGAGCGACTAAGGGTGCTCGAGTATTCTCGCCGAGCCCCCAAAAGACATAGAAGACCTGACACTCCACCTCCCCGTCAAAACAAAGATCATCCCCAGTCTCCCTCGTGGAGACACAGACAGGTCAGATCACGAAGCCGCTCTCCCCACGAACTTTGAGACGCCCCGCGTTGGAGAGACCACTGCCGAAGCAATTGGGAGGCACGACCTCACTCCCCCGTGCGAGGAACGATGATCCCCTGAAAACAGGAACAGGGGCAACAGAGAAGCGCATCCTCGGCCAAGGGATCCTCCCCGAGGCCAAGGCCATCACTATGACCGCCATTACAATCGGTCTCCTTCCCTCTCTCCCTACAAGAGCGATAAGGACGACCCCGCGGTCCCCTGTCACAAGCAATCATGGAGGTGCCCATTCCCAGGGTAATGGAGAAACCTCTCCAACTGAAGGAATATGATGACATTGTAGACTCTGTCGACCACATCGACGGGTTCGAGGCAATGCTTCACTATCACAATGTCGAGGGACCGATTAAATGTTGATTATTCCCCACGACCTTAAGGAAAACTACAATGGATTGGTATAAAAATCTCGCCCCAGGATCGATCACCTCCTGGAGAAACCTAAAGAACCAATTCATCAGCTTCTTTAGTGTCTCGTCGACACCCGAAGACTGAGGCCGCCCTTGAGGTTATCGTCCAGAGAAGTGACGAGACCCTCAGGGAATATCGATTGGTTCAACCGCGAGGCCATTCAGGTCCCATACACCGATCACATGAAAAGATATTTGCTAGAGAGAGGAAATCTCTCAGTAACTGAGTTTAGAAAGGCCTTCAGCATCGAACCACCCCGGACTTTCGATGCTCTCCTCGAAAAAGAAATGGCCTATATGGACTACGAGGAGAGGGAAGCGGCCAACAAAGCTCGTGACCCGAGGAATCGCGGATCGGCCAACACCCTGTGACACCAGGACGCTGGCCCTCCTCGACGAACGAGCGAGAAGAGAATGGATGATAAACCGCGTGATCCCCGCGAGCACAGGGGACCCGCATGGCGATTCACCGAATACACTCCGCTGACTGCTTCTCGCAAGCGCATCTTGGCGGAGTGCTCCAGTAATAACTTCAAGGATGGCGGTGTCAGATATCCTCGATCTGCTCCTGCAAAGCCCAAAGCTAACAGGAGAAAATACTGTCAGTACCATCGAAGTCACGGGCACCTGACTGAAGAATGTGTCCACCTTAAAGACGCCATTGAAACCCTCATCAAGGGTGGAAGACTCGGGCAATACCGATGCAATGATGCCCCTCGTCGAGATGCCCGCGAGAAAAAAGAGGCAGAGGAGGACACCTGACCATCAGATAAGGCGGCCCCCATACATATAGCTTTCTCTGTCACAAGGCCAGAGGACTTCTATGTCCCCGACATATAAGAGGAAGAACCTTTGTCCATGTACAACAGGTGGGAGAAATTCCCCTCCACCATGGTTATAATCGGCGGGGGATTCAACGACATCTCCATAAACTCTGCGAAAAGAAAGCTCGACGAGTTGGTCGACGCAACCCCGACTCAGGTGGTGACACTCGAGAGGGTCAATGGCAAATCAGAACCAATCACTTTCTACTCCGAGGAGTTGCCTGAGGGCCCCCCAACTCGAGCATCCCTTTGTTGATGAGGGCGATAATGGCTAATTTTGACGTTCCCCGCATCTTGGTCGACGTCATGTACAACCATCTATTTCAAACCTTACAGCTGGACGACACCCACCTTTCACCATACTTGGGGTC